GGCAGCGGAGCTCGCCCCAGCCCGGGCAGGAGCCGGCGCTCCCTGCAAGGAGGGAAAACCCCAACGCACAGCAGGGGCGAGCGTCCTGCAAATCCTCCTTCAGAGGGGAGGCCGTAGAAGGAATCTTACCGACTCGAAGGCAGCAATAAAAAGCCTTTCGCTGGGAGCATTAATGTGGCATTTCCTCTCTGCAATGACTTTCCCTGCTTATTTTTAGGATTGGGGCTTATTTAAGGAAATCTCATGGGACAGGCTCAGCTCAGCCACCCCTTCTATTCCCAAGGAGCTGCCCCCCCATTTCCAGCAGCAAAGTCGCCCTCTTCCCAGCTGGAATGAAGGGCTGACATTTACCTTCCTCCTTCTCCTCTCACAGCACGACCGGCAGCAGCCTGGGCTCCCTTCTCTTCCTTCGAGGCGAGGGTTTTCAAAGCAGCATCCCCACCCTGTCTCGCACGGCCCCGCAGAGCGGCTGGGAGAACCTTCCCTGCCTGCTGGCGGGAGGAGAAGCGGAGAAGTGACGGAGAGGAGATGCTGCAGCTGAACGCGGCCGAGGGGAGGAGAGGGGTGATGAGAACGTGAATTTTCTGCCAAAAGAAACGAGAGCCATAAACATCGTGTGGAGAGAGCGAGCAGGCTTGGATGGGAAGGAGCAGCACTTCCCACGCCTGACAGCGTTTGTGCCTTGGCAGGGGACCGATCGTTGCTCAATCCATCTCCTCCGTCCCCATGTTTCCCCACTCCTGCCTATACCAGCACCCAGAGCATCAGCTGTTGCAGCAGATGAAAGCTGGAATTTGCCGCCTGGGTGCTGGTCGCCGCGGGCTGGTGGGTGGTTTCACCTCGGCTCCCCATGCAGGTCGCTCACCTGCTCCACCACAGCAGCTTCCCGACGACCAGGTCTCCCGTGGGCCAGGCACACGGCTGCTGTCCACAGCCACGAAGGGTCCAAGGGACCACGGGGGCCCCGGCAAAGCTCTGGCGTTGAGGAGCTCACAGCCCTGGCGGGACGGACGTGCAGTCAGCGTCCCGCATGACGTGGTGGACGCGAGGGCTTACAGAGCCCAGCGAGCCTCACAAACCCACAGCGACCCCGTGAGCATTAACACCCAAAATTGGCACCTCCTTGCATGTCAACGTGCCCACGAGCACCTCAGGGACCGCAGCCGGGCTCCTGGTCCCATGGCACGGGGATGATGGGGGGGCAAGAGCGCATTCCCAGGTCGGAGCCGTGCTGCCCCCGGGCCGCAGCCGGGCAGAAGCTGCACTGGGGAGACGGCGCTGAGCCCTGGGAGGCCACGCAGCGACTGCTCCTGCGTGCAGTGCGGCGGAGCGTGGCTGCCAGCGTGAGGTTTAACCAAGGACCCTGTCTGCTCCCACGCCCACAGGGAAGGGAACCCCCTGCAGCCCCCGCCTCTGCTCCAGGCTTGCCCCCGAGACAGATGCAGGTCACAGCCCCGGGGGCCGCTAGCACCAGCTGCCATGCAGCAATCCGACCCCCGGGATGCTTGGAGGTGCTCGCTAACGCGTGCGAGGCGATTCCCGGCTCCCGCCCACCAGGGCAGCGTGGTCCCTGGCGAGGCTCTGCTGGCCCTGGATGCCCCCAGCGTGACGCGTCCCATCCCAGGCCCAGCTCTCCCCTCTCCAGAGCATCTTTCTCCAGGAGGGTCTGGGTGATCCGCAGGCTCCTGTTTAACCCAGACCCCCCCTGCCGCTGCCCGAGGGATCCCCGCAGCTCCCGACCCAGCAGGCAGCGGTTGCCACCAGCCGACCGGCTTCCTCCCCCCCCAGCACCTGCATTTTGAGAGGCCCCAGCCTGGTGGCTCGCAGCCTCCTCCAAAAGGCGCAGCCATGGCGCGGGCCCCCCCTTTGCAGGCTGCCGCACCTCTGTGCAGGCTGCCGAGGGCCCCTTTCCTCCGCACGTCACCTCGTTGCCTGTCTTGGTCACCAAGCACAAACCGGTGTTGCCGTGCTGCACCGGGCACCCACCCCAAACACCGCCTGAGCCGCAAACTCCGGCTGCTTTGCAGAGGGAAGGAGGCGGTCACGGACCTTGAATTCGCCGCCTGTTGAGTAAAAACATCAGGAGAGGCTGGAGGGGAAGCAGGGAGCGTTGCCGAGCCCTTTGCCATGGGTCTGTGAATGCTCTGGCCATTTACTACGAGGGTACTGGGTGCTGGCAGAGGCCGGGGGCTGGAGCGCTCCCTTCGGGCAGCGTAAGCCAGGTGAGAAACAGAAAGCAGCCGGGCCAAGTTTCACCCATAAAAAAAAAGTTTTTTCCTTAAAAATACAACGTTCACCTGCAGTGACACAACTACTCGGAACATTTCTTTAGAAGGGTTTTCATCTGCTTCCAGCCTCGCAAGCCATCAGCGTTGGGAGCAGGGAGAGCAGGGAGCCCGGCCCCGACAGGAAGGTTCCTTCCACCCATTCCCGCACCCAGAGCTCGCGCTGGAGGCAGAGGGGGGTTGGTACCTGCAGCGGCATCCCACTGGCATCCTCACCGTCCAGGGGGACCAAGGGCAGGACAGATTGCTCCTGCTGGCAAAGAGCAGACAAGGTTTCAGGGAAACCTCAGCCCCCCCAGAAGGTAAAGAAAGCTTGGAGGGGGGGAGAAGCAGCACCCAGGGCCCGGCTGGCCCTTACTTGCCTTTCCAGCCCGGGGCCGTGGCTCCGTAGGTCCCAGCTCCGCTCCCCCCCCGCCCCACAGAACACCCTGCCTGGCCCACCACGAAACCGCAGCTCAGAGGAGCTCCCCCAGCCACGCCAGCGCCCGCCGGACGGGGCCCCCGCCAGCCAGCGTGCCCTGCTTGTCCAGCTGAGCTCCTCTGGATGCAGCCGAGGAGCAGCCCTTCCCGACTCCTGCGTGCCCTGGCCACGGTCACCCAGTTTTCTAAAGTTTCTGTCCTGCTTTTCCTAAGGAGCGATGGTTCATCGGGCTTGGAGGTGTCATTGTCACAGGAGACTCCCTCCTTGGGAAGAGAAGGCCCAAATGCAGACCAGACCCAATGCTTAGGGGCCCAGGTTAAAGATGTGAAAAGAAAACTTCCTACCCCGGGACAGCCCTCTGGTTGCCCTCCATCACCATCTGGTATTGATTTTTCATATAGGCAGCGATGAAGTTGCAACACAAAGTCCACAGGCAATCAAGAGAGGGTTCAGGGCCTTGGGGCGACTGGTTCGG